CTAGTAGAGGAAGCAGAGAGTAGGGGAGAAGGATAGTAGGAGGGGTAGCCTAGACACGCCTAGGTAATACCCAATAGACAATGAATACCGAGGAGGGCACAGCCCAAATGCTCTGGCGCAGATAGGCGGTTCGGGCGAGGAAAAGGACCAGAACGAATACACAGAGGATAGAAGAGGCTGGTAGAGCCTCTAGGGGCAAATTAGAGGCAGTGGCCTAGACCACTGCCTAGACGCATGTGTCTGTCATAGCCGATTGGCTCCATATGGACGTTAAACTTGATTAAATAAATAAATAAATAGCGACTTGCTCTCCATCAACGAAGAAAGCGTAAGGGTTTCCGTCCACAATTACCATGATGGATAATTGGACATTAATTAATTATTATATTATGTTGACGCTGCCTAGTTAGGCCTAGCGCTGTTGTTCTTCCTAAGCGATTTCTTTCCCACAGTCATGTTGATAGATTCAAGCAATAGCCATCTAATCAAGGAATTCAACCATCTCCACCCTTCCAACATATTATATCTGTGGATAAGACAATATTGAAAGGAGGTTTCAGATAGAAAATTTTGAAATGCAGATAGGAGGATTTGCCTACTGTTTATCCACTATGGTAGGTATATAGCTATTTATTGTAACCAAGCGCATGATGTAACTGGCCAATCCCTCTCTAGACATAGCTGGAAATTGGAATAAGGAACATTATGTAATAGCAACGTAGTAGTCCTTATCATTGCAGCTTAACCAGGTAGTAATATTTTTAAGTGTACGCATCATTATGTTGTTTTAGGCCTGTGTTTATAACATGTATCGTATTGTCATCTAGGTGTCATACTTTCCGCTTTCAAAAAGAAAAAGAACGAGGATTGAGACTGTGGAGATACTGCCGCAAGCCTTCTATCCGCGGTTGCAACGGCATAACTTCCGGGGTTTCTAATTAGTCCGTCCTTGGGTCATTCACGAATTGGGTGAGTCCTATTAAACTAATTTTTTTTTGGGCCTATATAGCCGACTGTATATGTACCGGCATCTAGCTTAACATATAAGGAATATCTGCTGCAATTAAGAAGTAGCCTAATTCAAGTAATATCTGTAAGTGTTACAAGAAGTTAGAAATTATTGGGAGATCAAGTATATGTAGAAATGAAACTGAAACGGACGTTATCATATGGGTAATATTTTTTTTTTAGTCAGCAAAACTGACAAGTGCGGTGAAGTAGACGTAGAAGTCTGTTGCACTTAGTGTGGGGCTTGCAGAGCGGTCCGAGTCAGTCGTTAGTTCACTCGGGTAAGGTTTTAGATCCCTAAGCGGGACCCTTTCTAAGTATAACTACGTACTATTTCAACTAGAATACTTTTAAAATATATCTATATTATAGATAACTGACATCACCAACAGGTTCTGAAGCCGAAGCAGTGGTCCGGCTTTTGGACAACTACAATAAGCTATGGCCGGTATTTGACAATCGCTTCCGGATTAAGTAACACACTTTCTGCAAATTCTTCGGATAAGATGATGGCAAGTACTATCTGCGGTCGCATACTGTATATTGGTATACTACATCATACAAAATTCTATCGAAAATGTCTAGTTCTAGGCCCACCTGCAGATCCATGCATCTACCTGGATAGATTGTTGTTAGGAAAGAGTAACGATATTTGCCTACCAGACTTATTGTAGCGTAACACAAAATATTGGTATTGTTGTTATCATCTGTATGTCTAGAAACGCGCCAAGCATATCGGGCATTACCCTACAATCACCCTACTTAATTGACTTCCGGGCGGCAAGTGGCCCGGACATCCAACTACTAATACAGAATGTAACGTGTATAGACCCTTACTCTACAAGACGTATTAGACTGTCCAGCTTTATCCTTCATGTGAAAGAATATAATGTATTGACATCACTATGTATTACCGAGCTCTATGGTAAGCAATGTGTCCTGAGGTACAACTCACTACGTAATACTAGAGTCCATATACTGCTTCTCGTGACGTACTGGATAAGACAGTCATAGCAAAACGTGTGGAATATGACAGGAAGTGCTATTCTAGATCGCTATCCACGATACTTAAGCTAAACTCAGCAATTTCGTGAACCGATCACAGTCAAGATAAGCCAAAGTTACAATATTGTCTCATAATATCAGTTTAGATGGCAAAATAATATCTTGATCCGAAAGATATAAATAGAAAAAAAATTCTTTGTTTTGAATAAAGAATATAAGTATCTCAATATTTTTTCATCACTTCTCTACCACATCACAAATCAAGCTATAAGTTTCATCTCATATAGAACATATCTGAGTTGAAGTCACCATGCCCACAAATAGAGTGCGGCATATCCTCTCTATTGGATATTGGGTCGCATACCATATCCGCAAATTAAGGATAAAAGATATTACTTCAATACTATATTCTCAATAAGGATATTCATAGATATCTGCAAAGATATAAGAATATTTTGTAGATATCTGTACTAGTATAACTCTCGCTTAATTATCTATATATAGATAGTATACTACATCCGCAATTTGCGGAGAGGATTGTGGGGTCAAGGATCTACTTGTCAAAGAGATAGCTACTATTCAGGGTAGAAAACCCGTCAACTAGATAAGGGTACATAGGCAATTGGACGGGTAGTAGATACTGTAGACAGAAGACTGATTCTTGCCTTTCTTTGCTATCAATAACAGGATGACTTTATAGCCAGAGAGATCCTCTTCTCTTTCCTAACTAAGATTCACAGGGAGCTACGATATGTTATTGAAAGGACAACGGATATATGCACGGCGGGTAGGGTATACGGTAAAGTCATCATGCAGAGTCGTCATGTAATCTGTGACACTACTACTCCGATAGGTTAGTTCTCTGACGTAGGATATGTAAGTCGCATACACTTATTACTTCCTTGAATACTAGTACTGAACGCATAGCGGATAAATACCGAACATATTATACTTTGTTCTAGATTATAGCCTATGGAGCCTGCGCATAGTGGTTGAGCCGTAGAACAGATGGCGATTCTTAACAATCGTGTAGGGCTTTAGTGCCGTGTAACCGTAAACTCCAGCCGGGTGTCTTCTATTAATCTCAATAAAAGTATAGTACTGTAGCTACGCATCACAGCTTTGGTTCAATTGGTAGAAAGTAGTATTCGGAATAATAAATTGGCTCCCGGTATAAACTCTATACTTAATATTATATGGTCCTCAGCAACAGTGGTGTCATTATTACAATCGTGTGGTTAAACTTTCTTTGAAAATGGTAATTCTACCTTTTAACTTATAGTACTTGATTACATCACAATATATGATATTATTTTACATTTTAATCTAAATTGAGATATGACACTCTAGTACTTGAGTTAAACAGAATCTACCGGATGCGGGCAAGATATATGTTGCAGTACCAAGTCTCGCAGAGCTCCGAGTTCCGAAGCCTAAGATGTAACCTATTGATGCCATAGATCCACAATAACTATTACATTTACAATTATAAATATAACAGTTCTTGGACTATTCCTAAGATTACTTACATAGCTAGATATGCTTAAACTTGAAGTTCAAAACAATCTCAGTCTTAATTAAAGTATTACTACCCTCATCACCAATATGGTTCTAAAGTCAGCTCTTATTCTTCTGAGTCTGGCCCGGTTTTTATCTGCTTACCAAAGCCCGACATGCCTGTCCCCCAATATTGATGGAAGCCTAAGCAATAAGGCCATTTGCTGCCTTAATAACAATAATATAGGCGAGGAATCGGTAGATGGAACCATTTATAAATATAAATGTGGCTACTATTCCGATAGCCTTATTTGGCAACAAGGCCAATATTCCTCCAATGCCAATGATTGTGCCAGGAAGTGCTCAGCACAAGCTACGTCCAATACTCCCTGCCACGCAGCTACCTGGATGGCGAATTCAAACCAGCCAAATATTGGTACTTGCTATCTTTCAACTGCCGGGTTTAAAGAAAAGCCTGATCTAACCGGCGAGCGGCTGCTGCTGGTCCGAACTGATCGGACACCTATGGACGACTACCAGCCAGAGATCGACGAGGTTGTGAAACAAGAACAAGAAAATTGTGATAAAATTATAGATGAGGATCGCAAGAGGTACATCCAGTTTACACGAAACTGTAAGGGTTTATTCCTCTTCTTAACTGTCTCTTGCTAATCTCCCGCCTTCCCCTTATTTGTGGCGCTAGGTCGAAATCTAGGTCCATATTACAAGGAGATAAGGATGGATAAAACTGTCAAATTCCAATTATTCTGTGAAACCTGTATGTTCTACAGATACTATGACCTTGTAATGCTTCAGTAATGGCTTTCTAATAACATCATTTAGATCCTCAATCCAAAAATGGGAAACTTGACCTTGGAAGAACTTCTGGATATGAAGAGTGCTTAAAGGAATGTGCTTCTAGGGGGAAAAACTGTAAGAGTGGATGGTATGATACATCTAGCGGGAATTGCTATGGTTTCAAGAGGAAGGAAAAGCTAATTGGAAATGGCACTTGGAATATTGGCTTCGCGAGAGTGCCTTAGCCTAACCGAACCGTGCGTCCTCCCGCCTCGTGGGTGCATGTCCAGTAACCCGCCCGTCTGCTTGCTTCTTTTTCCTTTGCTCTTGGATTATTGAATCTGATAATTTTTTCTTTTCTTTTTTCTTTAAATGATCTGTTACCTAATAACTTAATACAATGAGGTGTTAGTATCAAACTCGCTTACACATGGACCTTAGAGTTAGACTGGCATTTGGCCAGGTTAGGTTAGGTTAATGGGGTCAGTTATACCTAACTGCTAGATTATGACTAGATTAATAAAATTTCTATATCTAACTACAGTTAAGCTAAAAATTGGACAATTAATCTAGATTAACTATATTTAATATCAAGATTATTAATTTTTATCAAATATAATAAACAATAAATTAAATTAATTGTAATTAATTTAGTTTTAATTTAATTATTTTTATTGACTATAAGAATATTCTATTAATTATTTTGAAATATTTTAATATTTAGTATATATAATAAAAAAAAATTTTTTTATTATATAATATTGTCACAGATCCGATGATGACTCTGCATGATGACTGTATCGTATACCCTGCCCGTTGTGCATATACAGCTCGGAGGCCGAACGGCGACGACGGATCACATATCCGTCGTCTTTTCAATAGCGTATAGTAGCTCCTTGTCAGTCTTATCCGGTTGGGAGAATAAGGGGGTTTTTCTGGATATAAAGTTAGCCTAGTGTGAATGAAAGAGGAAGGCAAGAATCAGTCTTCTGTCTGTCTGATATCTACTGCTTAGCTTTCAGCCTACGTACCCTTATCTAGTTGACAGGTCTTCTACCCTGAATAGTAGATATTTTCTTGACAATTCTGATTCTTCTTTTTCAACTATCTAAGGGTACCCATGGCTTTGTCTTCAAGAGTATCTGACGGAAACGTATCGTCCCCTCCAAGAACCCCTGACGAGGAGATGCCTCCAGTAATCGAATCAGTTCCCGAGATAATTCCCGAATCTTATACCTAGAATAGGAATGGAACCCTATAATAGTTAAGAGATACTATCCGACAATTGGAAAATAGATTGGAAAGTAGGGAATTATTATATAATCGGTGACAATTCAGCTCGGTCTTATTAAAGGATGGCTGTACTGTTAAGCTATTTAAGAATATTCCCGAATTTACTCTTGATTTTAGATTCTAACAAAGACAAGAGTGGGTCCTTGATCTAGAATATTCCTTTAAGGGAGCCAGGAGTCGCTTGAGAAGAGATAACCAGAAAATTATCGCTGCCCTTTCTTATATATCTCCGATATGCCGGCAGAGATGGTATCGACACCTCGCAGAAAAGTCGGAAGATTAACAAACAAATATTGAAGAGTTATAGTAGTATTTCACAGAATAGACTCTTACGCTGATTAGGAATTCGGCAACCTTATAATCCGATACTATGGGCCAACTTCAAAGGGCTCGATAACGGAAAGACTAAGATCTGCGGGAATTTTATGTATATCTCGATGCCTTAGAGCAACACTTCTCTAGGTAAGCCGAAAAAGAGCGAGTATTTACTTTCTTTGCAAAACTTCTTCCCGAATTATCTAAATATATGTAAGAACATTACCTTAAGCTCCCCGAGAACAGAGACGAAATGGTAATATTTGCTACACATCACTGGAACCTTTTGCAAAGAGGCCAGAAACGAAAATATGATGAAATAGCAAAGAAAAATAAATCGAAAAATAATAAGTTAAAGAAAGAAGGAAACTCCCGAAATATAAAGGAAGACTTGAAGAAACCTCGAAAGAATAATACTGACGATAAAGGTAATGTACTACAATGCTATATATATAACAGCGAGTTTTACCTTACCAACAAATATCCCAAGAAGAGGAAGAAGGTCTCAGTTCAGGAAGTCGAAGTGGAAGAAACTGAATTGGAAAATAGCTCGGAATTAGAATAGCCCCTACCAAACCGGCTTCTAATTTCTATATAGAGACTATTGTACGCTTCTATATTCCTGTTCGCTGCGGAAAAGATATCAAAATATTTGCGGATATGGATAGCTGTACCGAAGTTAATATTGTTAGCTATCAATTTGTAAAAAATTATAAATTTTAACAAGTACTACTTACGGCCCTATACCCTAGTGCGTGGTCCAGCCAGCCCTCGCTCGACTTACTCGCCCGCCCATTGGCCCGTCCCCTGCGACCTGCGTCCCCACCACCCGTGCGTGCTCCCGCCCGCCGGCTGTGCGTGGCCCGTACAATCTCTCCTCCCCGGTACCCTGTCAGTCGTCGATATTTATTTGGTAGAGAGAAAATGATCTATCAATTTATTATTCTATATAGTATCTTCCGCGCGACAAGATCAGAATTCTCAACATGTCCACACGTTATATTAAACTCGATTAGATTAAATTATAATTATACTCTTTCTAATTTTTTTCTTATTTTTTTTTTATTCTTATATATAAAATATTCTCTGATTTTTTCTAATAGAATTCTGTCTCTATAGATCTCTTTGTATATAACGAAACGTATTCTCTCTGGATCTGTACCAGTTATTATTATACAGTCACCCCGCAGCATCTGAACCGGCATCTCCGTACCTATTATCGACAGTATCTATCGGTCAAGACTGTAGAGCTTCGCCAGACAGTCCTAACTGAGATACTAAAAAGGCCCTGAATCGAGTTTTATAAGAAATTAAATCAATTTTCTTCTTCTGATAGTCCCCCAATTCCCTAACCCAGAAGGGGTGAAGCAGTGCAGTGCACTGGAATTGAGTGGGGCCCCGTTTGGCGGGCGGCCGCGTTTAGGGTCAACGTGGGCTGGAATTGATTGACTGACGTGGACTGCTATTGAATCCCGCGATC